AGACTCCACAGTGTTTCTGCACAAACTTATTTTTTTCCACAAAGGAGAAGCACTGTTGAAAAACTAGAGAGATACAGGTCCGGAGACCTTTCTGCCTGCATTAGCGCACTCAGCACTTAACCAAGTCTTCCTATGAAGGAAGTTTCTGCAGGTCAGATTTGGGTTGTCCAAACATTTGCAAACAGGACTGTTTTTGATTAAAAGAAAACGAGTCCCGGATTATATCTGCTAGTGACTGATGGGCATGTCGAGGCGGGCTTTCCCGACTGCGTGCGAGAGGATGTTCCCGGCGCCCAGGGGACACGTGGGAGAGGTGCGCTGACAGGGCAGAGTGCCTGGCATGTGCGGTTTTGGCCATACTGTCAATGGTTCGCTAACCTCTTGTCCCCTTCCATTAGTTCCCACGATCGAGGTGGCCTGGAACAAAGCAGGTGTAAACAGACGCTGACTTGGCTAACTCATTATACAACACATTTATTGCCTCTACACTCCAACCCCCAAAACATTACTAGGTGTTTATTTTTAGAGGATTGTCACAACACCGTAAATAGGATTCCTCAGAAGTCAGAATGGTTCCTTCATTTGGGGGTTTGCTAACTATTTATTAAGGTCGTTTGTAAGAACCTGACTGGTGTTGGCCTGGACATCAGGGAATCATAGAACAGTCATCCACCTGAGTTAGGGGTTCAGGTATACGAGCGTCTGGGTGAAAGCTGGGTTCAGAGCCCCCACACGCCCCTGCCCATCTGCCCTCCCCTCTGGCTAGTGGGCTCCGCAGCACTCCCTGCTCTTCAGGGGGAGCAAAAGCCCCAGTGGGAGCCCCTGCACCCAGAATCCCGAGGCTGGAGCAAAGGAACAGCCCTCCAGACCTGACTCTCCGGCACTTTCAGCTTCCGAGGGTGCACACTTCGAACGGCTCAACATGATTCAGCTCTTTTGGTCACCCCAGGCTCTCCCATCCCCATGCCCTCCACCAAAGGGACAGCGACCCCAGAGGACCCAGCTCCCCACCGGCAGGAGAGTCTGCAGCTCAGCTGTCGGTGACCTCTGGGGTCCGTGGCAGACAGCGGTGAGAAGGGTATGTGGCCCCTGATGTTGGCCTCAGGACACCCGCCTGTGGATGTGGCAGGAAGCCCAGGAGCCCGGTCATGGAGCTGTCGGCCCAAAAAGCAGGGCAGGAGGAACAGGGCCAGAGGGAGACTGACAGGCCAGTGTGTGACCTGCTTTCCTTTTTAATTTACGACATGCATACAGTACAAAATCAACATGGAAAATTAAATAAAGTACACTGGATCACAATGTAAACTATTAAAAGTGGGTATATAATAATACATATTTACATATAGAAACATGACAATCGAGTGGGGCAGCTTCCATGAACGCGAAAGGCGCACTGGGCTCAGGGTTTACACATTCGACCCCTCGCTTTCCTCCTCTTTCGTCAGTTGTACACTCGTGATTTAGGGTGAGATTATCCTGGAGCAGCAATTAATGACTATTTGTTAAGAAAAAAATTAACACCCTTAAAGACTACGCGAACAATTTAAAACAAAGAACGACAGTTCTCGACGGCGGGAGGAGGCTAATAGGCTCCCCTCCTCTTCCTCTCCCGTTTTCCCCAAAACGAATGAGGAGGGGACAAGGAGGGCTCAGCCGAGAGCGGCTTGGAGGGCAGAGGCAGCTCTCAGGGGCTCCCCCACTGCTGGGGGTGTGCACCTGGCCCAGAGGATCGGTCCACACAACCGCAGACAGCCCCACTTCGGCACTCAGTGGGTGTGGGGTGAGGCCATGTCCTCCGAGAACCAGGGGTCCGGATCAGCCCGCCAGGCACCCCCCCGCCCCTCCCTGGGCACAGAGCCCCTGGCCGGGCTGGGCAGCACCAGCTTCCCCAGCAGCAGAGTCAGAGGCCCCCCCGGGGGAGGCCAGGCTCCGAGCGTGGATGCTGGGCACGCTGGGGTGTGTGTGCCAGGGAGCCCTGGTCCCAGCATTGTTCCGAAACCCCGAAGTCCTCCATAAGACGCAGACACCGTCGCTCTCCCACAACTGGAGCGCACCACCTCCTGTTGGTGTGTCACTCACAGATCCGTCGCTGCCCACACTGAGCTACTTGATCGCCCTAAACACGCTGGCTCCGCACAGGGACCGCTCTGAAATTCACAAAAATGACCCCGGCACATGAAGACGGGAATGTCGTGCCATGCAGGCAGGTCCTCGTTATTCTCGAGGCAGGAACAGGTCTGTGTTCCACAACAATGCACTGAATTTCTCTGAGAAAGTAGCAGGCGGATGGAAGGACGAAGAGGAGGAAGGTCTTTAAGGCAGTGGCTGTCTTCCTTTTGAAGCCCTTCCCCGAGGCATCCAGAACATTCCACACTGAACCCTTGGTGGCATCTTCGGTCTTCATGAGGCAGGCTGGTTAGACGTACACTTCTGGGCTCTCTGCACACCACAGGCTGCTGACAAGACGGTTCTACGCGAGAGGACACACTAGGAATGTTCTCTGGGGTAACTGGGCACGCTCCATGCGCGGGCGGACGTCACTGCTATTCACACGCCTGGCTGACCAGACGAGCGCTCAGAGCCTTCCCGCCCAGCAGCGCCACCACCAACCCACCTGGCCGCCTCATTTGTTCATTCTGCTCTAGGATCACTAAAAAATATCCAGGAAAGAACCCAACCAACAGGCAAAATCTGTGCATTTGTAGTTGGTCGGTGGGGGGAGCTCTCCAATTCCACGGATCTTACATGTTACCCCTTCCACGCATCCCTCCCGTCCACTGCCGGGGAGAATGGGCCCAGGCACGGAAACGCACTCCACTCAAGGCCCAACATGTGAACAGAAGTAGGTCTCGCTGGGTGGCAGGCGCAGACAGCGTGGCCATGCCTTCTGCCACAGCCCAGCTGAGGAGTCCTCCGTGGCCCAGGCCATGCCGGCCATCGGTGAGGCTGCAGCGCCCCCTAATGGCCACGGTGCAACTCTTTCCATTCCCAAGTTCAAAAGCCAGGCTCCCAGAAATTCAAATTGTGAGTTACACTGTCACATCCTGTCTTAAGAAACAAAGTGAGCAGTGACCCAGTGCTGTCAGGGTGGAAAATGACAGCCTGAAGTATCTCACAGGCCAGTGGGTTTTGTGCTTGGGATGAAAGGCTGGGACCCCCACAGGCGAGTCCATGGGGACAGGGCTCAGACGTGAGCCGAGATCACGGGCCACACAGCTCGCTGCCCCTGCTCACGCCACTGTCCCAGGGACAGCTCCTCGGGCTCCCCCACCCTTAGCACCCAGCAGCCCAGCCCGGAGCATCTGGCCTCCCACGAGCGTCACCAGAGCAGGACGCCGGGCCTGCATGGGCTGCTTAGAGAGCTGTGCGGGACCCAGCTCGGGCCACCCAGAAACTGTGTGCTTCCTGGGTGCACAGGGCCCAGCGCTAGTCTAAGGTATCCCACTCAACTCCAGGGTCAAATGTTCATTCACTTGGCTGTTTACTCATTTGCTTTAAATGATACAACCCACAGCCGTGTTCTGCTTGGGTGCCAGAAATTCAATCTAACAACAGCTTAAAACTGCTTCACCCCCCGAGGGTGCCAGAGCAGTCCAGGGGAGGCCAGGTGTGTTCCTCAACAAGCCACACCACCAAAGGGATGCCGACAGGTGAACTCCACGCACCTGGTGGCCAGAGTACAGCAACCAGCAGAAAAGCCCCGCTGCTACCTATCCTCTGCCTATTAAAAAACACATAAACCTACCGAAGTTAAAAAACGGTTTCGAAGCCTATGACCAACCCATTTACCAGGCAAATCCCCCACAAGCCCAACTGCAAACCTCATTTTTGCCTTAACGCCCTTACCTTTGGGAAATGCTCCCCAAGGTCACCGCCACCCACCGGAGGTGAAATGCAACCATCACCTTGTCTGACCTTGCAGCTCCAGCACAGACGGCCACCTGTCTGCCCCCCCGCCTTCTTAGCCATGGCCAGGAGACAGCTGCCGGGGGGCCACACCACCGCCACCAGCCAAGCAACTTCAAGTAGGCAAGGTCGTCTCCCTCGTGACCGCTTGAGCATGTGCACACACACAGCCCCCGCTCTGAACAGCCTCCCCACAATGTCAACTCCCCAACTTCTGCCCCATCTAGTCTACCTCCACACTTCTGCCTGTAAAGGCTGCCACCCCCATTTGCAGGTCTCTCGGTTCCCGCATCCCAAACACACACTTAAGATTTGTGACTCCAACCACCAAACCTGTGCACCTGTCCCCAAACCCAGGTGCCCAACTCAGTAACCTGGGAACCTCGATTCCTACCGGTCCCTCTCCTCCAGTGCGTGAATTTAGGAGTGATCCTACCTTCAAGATACATCTGAACCCCATGTACCCTTGCTCTTCTGTACTGCCACCACTCTGTGCTCTCCCCAGACTTCCTGAGTGGTCTCGGCTTCCACTCTTGCCCTCCTCCCATCCTCTGGCCCCAGAACAGCTCCAGTGCAATGTGATCGCATAGGACGCCTCTGCTCAAACCTCCGTCCAAGCACGGATGAGCCTGGGGCTGCCCAGGTCCCAGTGACGGCAGTTACCTGTGTGACTGAACAAACAACACTAGCCCCCTTCAACAGCTTGTCCAGGCTGCGCCAGCCTCCTTCCTGCACACAGTGGGCTCTTCCCTCCCAGAGCCAGTCACCTGTCTCATCTCCGGGCTGGCTCCCTCCTCCTAGACCCTAGCTCACCTGCGACCTCCTCCGAGGGACCCTCCTTGACCAATACACAGAAAGACAGGAGTCGCCCCTGCTCCTCCAGTGTGGGCCTCCACGCTTACTTCACTGCACTTACTACAATTTCTGACTGCTTCTTCACTGGGGGGGTGGTTCGGGTTTTCTCTCCCAGCAGGGCACAGGTCTTTGCCAACTGGGCCCTTGCTGTCTGCTCTCTAGCTCCTTCCGTTGAGGCACCTAGCAGGAGCACATGCTCAGCAAACACTGGTAGAAAGAACAACACGCCAACAAAAAGCTTCCAAAGGGCAATGCAGAGTTATTTATAAAAACCAATTATGTCTGTTATAATTACTTTAAAAATACGAGGCAGGAGTAACAAAATAGTCATCAGATATAATTTTTTAAAGGGCAGCAATATTTGTAAGTAAACAAATCCAATCATGAGGGCTAATCAGTACGTAATTATATGGTGTCCAATGTCGCTAAGAGCATCTTGGAGAAACCTGCCGGACAATGGCAATGTAGCATATTTCTATCATTTGGGATGGCCATTTTATCTTTGGTTAGAGTGGAGAATTTTCCATCTTTGGTAAGAGTAGATGTAATACCCAGTGTCACTCTTCACTGATCAGAACAATCGTGTGCATGGCTTACTTTTATTTTTTATTATAAAAAACACATACAAGAGTTTTAAGAAATGATGAATATATGACAAATCAGAACCACGGTGAGTTATTAAACCCATTTTCTATGTACAAATACTAAAATTCCGAAAGTGGAATATCATCAAATGTGAAACACATTATAGCACGGTCCATATATACACGGCACGCACAGAGACCTGCCTGCACGCGTCTCTGAATCGTCTATATACACGTCGCTGACAGAAACCCTGCAAGTGAACTTCTACTCTTCAGCCCTCCTTGTCCTGATACAGTGACAGTTTTAAGGACCTGCAGAGACAGGAAGAAGATGCACTAGAGCGGGTCTCTAAGGCTCTCCCAGGTTCTCCTCTGACCAGTTGCGCACTCTACCTTGAGAAACAATTTTGTAGCCCATTTCCAGCTAAGACAGTGGAAGAGTCTTCTAGCTCTTTCTTAGCCGATTTATTTTTCCCTAGTCGATCATTTCAGCGCAAAGTCCAAAATTAGCTCAGGAACCAAATCAATGCTTTTATATTAAATTCATTATAAAATGCCACTCAATTTTAAAAAGCGACTAAAAGGACACTTTCTGCAGCAAAAAAGGGCTAAGTTCAAGTTTTTGTTGTTTGACCAAGACACAATAATACAACCCACATGTCATGGAATCACAACAGCCTTAAGTGAAATGTATGCGGTTTGGGGAAAGGCAGCCCTGCCATGGCTGGCTTCTGTCTCCTCGCCACGGTGACCAGAGCCTCTGGGCATTCTCTCTCTTCTCCGGCTTTCCTTTTGAAACTCAGTTTGTGCTCCGCCAAGCTGACTCATCTATTCATACTTGAGATATGTAAAGGCACTTCTCTAGACGCAGCGGCGCGGGGCAGCTTAGCCGACCTCCTCCGCGCACAGCGAGCTGACCTCCTCCAGGCAGCTGAGCACCGCGGAAGGCACGCTGTGCGCGGTTTCTTGGCGCCAGGCCTCCAGGATCTTGGATATTTCCGCTGGATTGCTGGGACTCAAATCACAGAGCGCGTACACGGCGGCCAGCTGGATGCCCCACGGGATATCTGCAAGGGAACTTCGTATCAGGCATTACACAAGAAAAGGCTTGTTATTCAGAACGCTCGTGTTGTCCTCCACTGAATTACTACTCACACACAGGACACCCTCTCTGCCGGCAATGAAAAACAGAAAACCCCGTAATGAAAAACACGAACTAAGCACGCCTCTGCAGCTGGGAAGAAACAGAAGCGCAGAGGAGCTGTGTGCAGGCCCGGGAGCCGGCCGGGCCCCCGAACACTGGCACAGTCAGCCCAGAACACGCGCTGCGGAGCTCCGGGCCTCGCGTGCCCGACGCCAAGCTTCCCAAAGCAGCTCTGGAAGCAGCACGCTCCACAATGTAAGTTTCGATAAGATGTGGATCCCAGAGCATTGGTCCAAGAAGTGACTGCACTGGCCACCCACTGGAGGTGCGCATACACGGGCCCCGAACAGGAAGCACGCAGACCTGGCACGAGCTGGAGCCCAACGTCACACCCACCGCCGCAGCACACCGCCGAGCCAAGCAGGGTGGCCGCCAGGGCCGGCGGGTCACGGCCAGCCGGAGACTCTGCTAGGGGAGCCCTCCCACTTAGCAGAGGTTATTTACAAGGTATGCAAGTAACACTTAGTTCGGCCGAATTCTGGTTAAATTGTAATTCAAACCACACGCCAGAAAACCCACAGGCGCTCAGTGTGCGTGCTGAGAACCAAGGCGCGCCGCAGCTTTGCCAGTTCCTCCCCCGACCCGAGGGCGCGGCGGGGAGGGGGCACAGGGCACCGCGCGCAGCCACCACTCAGAGGGCTTAAGGGGAGGAATGCGAGGGACTCAAAACTCCTTTCTGTGAACAGAGGTCTTACCTTCGTCCTGCGCATGCTGGATGAACATACCAATGACGGAGCTAATATTCTTCACGGCGGACGGGAAGCCTTCCTTCAAGCCCAGCTGGCCTAAACGACCTGGAGGACACAGTAAACCAAAGTGCCAACAGCCTTCAGTGAAACGTTCACTTTTCCTGAGACTTTAACATTTCTGTTCTCTTTCCTGCATCACTATTTACGTTAAGTTCAAACAGGTACGTGTTTCCTACATGAAAGCAGATAAAGGGTGAGGAGCCGGGAGCCACAGAGCACCGTGTGTCTTACTGGGGGCGGGGGTGGTGGGGACTGAGACCACCAATCACCCCCACTCTCACACTCAGGACACGGCACACAGCTTCCTCGGTGAAGGCATCATAAGGAGTGGAATTCAGGCGAAAGCCCGGCTGCAGCAGGCTCGCTGTGGACGGCGGACTTCTGCGAGGTTCCAGGACCCCCCACGCGCTGCCCAGCAGGCCCGGCTGCGGTCCAACACTTGGCCATGCTGACCCAGCTGCGCAGCACAGCGGCTCTCAAGTGTGGTCCGCAGACCCCCCGAGTCCTCAGGGTCAAAATGATCTTCACGACAACACAGCTGTCACTCAGGAGTGACCTGCCTTCTTCCCAGGGCTGAGACCAGACGGATGGCAGCAAAGCCAGGGCCTGGGACGACCGTGACCTTGGCACCAACCAGGGCGGCTGCGGCAGGCGGTCACTCCTGAGCACCAGGTGCTCCCGGCACAAAAAGCGGACATGCACATGGTGGAGCTGCTTGACCTAGGAGGGGAACTGGGCACCTCTCCATTCAACCCCCACGTTCCCCTGAAAGAATGACTAACTCAAGCTATTCAGACCGAGACATTTTCTCAAAACTGAATAAAGTGAACCTGTCACTGCAAGGAAATTTATCAATGTTGTCAAAGATAAAATGTGAGCTCTTAAGCAAAACTAAAATTTTGGAAAAACTTCCAACAGCCATCCAGAGCTTGACAGCTTCAAAAACTGAAGACCTCTCTGATGAGATCAGGGATGATATTAATGCTTGTTTTCTCGATATTGTTGACATTTGGAAGATCTATGCAAATCAATATTTTCCAAGTGAGCAGAGCGGGTCACAGAATCGTGACTGGGCAAAAGGCCTTCTCCATGCAGGTGCGAGAGCCCTGGGCAGCACGGCAGGAAGGCTCCCCGGGAAGGGTTCAGACTTCACACTGCATCCAGCCTTCAGGGAGTTACCCCTTGTGGTAGGTCAATGCAGTGTCAAAGAAGAATATCCACAATGATCTGAAAAGGCTATTAAAATACTCCTCTCCTTTTATCAGCTCCATACAAAACTGGATTTTCTTCATACACTTCAACCAAAACAATGTACTGCAAGAGCCTGAGTGCAGAGCAGATAGGTCCATGAATCCAGACAGTAAAGAGGTCTGCGACAAGATAAAGGGCCGTTCTCCTCACTGTTGTTGTTGGGGAAATACTGTTCATGGAGAACGTCCTTTATGTTAACACTGGTTTATTATCAACATTAAACGAATAGCTAAATGTTATTTTCAATTTTGAACATTTTAACACCTGGTAGAAAGGACCTGAAGTGACAGAAGCTCTGGGGGTTCTCACTGGGTGGGGGGGGGG